AGTGGGGCGGGGGGTGTGGTGGTGGGGTTCGTCTGGGACTAGAAAGCCCCGCTCAGTTGGGCAAGTTCACGTTTGGGCTGATGGGGCAGGTGAGTTGGGGGGACCCTGCTGTGGGGTGACACTAGAAGCTGAGGGAGATGGAAATAACTTGGAGTTGGGTTTGGGGAAGGCAGGGCTAGTGCCAGGATGGAGGGGCCAGGGCGGTGGCTGGCCGGGGGCAGTGCAAGGACCAGCCGCGTGGGGTTGGATGGGGTTCGAAGGCTGCTTTGGGAGGGTGAGCCATCCTGGCACCCCATGGGGAGCCCGTGGTCCCTGGCAAACGGAGCTGGTCCAGCCTCTTCTTCCCGCTGTGGATCTTGGTGCAGAAAACCCCAAATATTGCTAGGATCCTGCTGAGCAGCTGGCAGCCATGGCTACGTGATGCCAGGAGAGCCGGCAGCCTCCCTGTGTGCCATGGCACGTCACTGGCGTCTGTGGATCCCCACGACCCATACCTATGCCCCCCAGCCTGGCGAGGAGGTGCCACCTCCCTGTGTGCCCACCACACGGGCTCAAGGTCTGTGGGGGGCCAGCACCACACATGCACCATATTTTACCAGCACGATTTCCTCCTTTGGCATCGGTGACGGGAGTGGGGGTGGAGATGGGGGGAGCCCGGGGGAGACACAAATGTGCGACTGCAGCATCCTCACTCTCACGGCTGCATCCCTCGCGCCTCCTCATGGTTGCCTTAGCAACCTCCTATCGATGGGGTATTTATAGAGGAGGCGAACGCATGTTGGGAAGCCGGAGGGGTGGACCGGGACTGGGTGGGTGTCTGTTAGGTCAGTCTCCAGCTTCAGGCTTCTCTCAGCTTGCGTGGCTGTGCGGAGGCAGGAGGGATGCTGCTCGCCTTGGTGTCAGTGCATGTGGCAGTCCAGCTTTTCCTGCTCATCAGAGCCTGGGGAGGTGGTTAGGAAATTTGCGCGTGGAAATAAAAATAAGCATCTGGGATGTCTGCCCTTCTCGCAGGCATCGCTTGTGCTTGTAGGCTTGCATATACCTGGCTTATTGTTGCACTGGAACAAACCGTCTCTGAGCTCTGACACTGGGTGCATTGGCACAGATACTTGGAAAAAAGTTAAAGATAAAATATTCCTGACGCATTAAATGTGTTGCCCGATGTATGATGTGGGTTATGGAGCTGGGGGTCCTGACAAATCTGGTCTTGAATATCCTTATTTCTGCATCTCTGTTCTCCTGTCTTATCAAAGGGGGAGAATGCCTGTAACAACGAGTGATACAGAGGTTTTGTGTGGAAACTGTGGCAAGTTTTCCATGCCGTGTGTTCTTTTATCCTGTGGGTTTGGGTCTCTTTGTAAAAACTGATGACAACAAAAGCAGGTCAGGTGGTCCCTGCTCAGCTGATGCAGCCTGTCAGGGAACGCATGAACCCAGGGGCCTCTCAGCTGCTCTCGCATCCCCCCCAGGACGGCTCAGAGAAGCGGGGTTGGGTGCGCAGTTTCTCGAGAAAAGGCCTCCTGGTGCGGGCTGTGGGGTGCAGGAAGCAGCAGATGACTCCTGTGTAATTCTGGTGCTCTGCTGCTTTCCATTGCTCCTGCTTAAACTCCAGACTGAGGTCTGCAATCTGAGTTTTATAAACTGTTGGAAAGAAGCTGCTTTCTGCCTCTGGAGACAGCTCCAGGCTTGCTTGGCTTCTTTTGGTGCAGGAACCTCAGAAACCACAGGAAACCTGATGTTGGCAGGGAGAGGTGCTAGATTTACTGAGAAGGTAGCTGTTGGTGAGGTGCGGTAGTGCCTGCTGTGGTGGTGTGCATCAGCCATTCTGAGTGTCTGGATGCCTGCCTTTTACGTGAAATGAGAAATGCATTTCTAGCCCTGCTGACCCCATGAACGGCCCTGTGCTGTCCCTGACCTCGCTCCAGCTGAGCGGATTCAAGTGCTTTTGGGATAACTGAATATCTGAAGTCCTGGACCCAAGATCAGCATGTGGTTTAGTTCTTGCTGTTTCTAACCACGTTTGCTCCTTCATCTGCAATAAATCCCTGTAGGAGCTGGTTAGTCCTGTCCCCTCTGTCTCCTGACAGAGTTGTGGCTTTGCCACAGCAAGGTGTCACACAAGGCGAAAGGAAATGAGTTTGCCCAGGATAGTCTGATCGGTGGGTCATCGAGCACAGGGAGAAGACAAAGCGTGAAAAACAAGTGAGTGAAACTCCTCCTGTGAGCAGAGAGGGATATACTCTGCTTCTGCAGGACTTTTTTTCACTCTTGTGGGGTTTCATTTAGTTTAGTTTTGCTTTTGAAGCACAAAAGGTGCTTTTCCAGCTGGAGAGCTGTTGTCCTGGGTGTGCAGGGAGCTCTGTCACTCTTGCTGCTGCCCTTAGCTTGGCCCAACAACCTTCAGGAGATGCATATCCTTTTCTTTCCTGCTGTGTAGTCAGCTTTATGGCAGTGGAGAAGACAGTATGGCCCTGTTTATTGCAGGTTATGGGTAGGAGTTGCAGAAGTGAGAACTGGCATGGCTGTGAAGTTGATTTAAAACAGGATGACTGCTTTACCTGTATCCATCAATCTCTTGTGAAAGGGAGGAGCACCAGGCTGCTCCCAGCAGCTTCTAACATGCAGGTCATCTCGTCTGCTGATGAGATATGGGGATGCTCCATCCAGTTCTTCCCTTCCTGCTTCACTTGTCTGCAGCCCTCTGGGCTTCTTGGGCAGGGCCCTGGCCCTTCCTGGGCTGGTGCAGCACAAGTACGGCAGAGACCTGCCCCAGGCTCTTGGAGAGCTGAGGGTGCCCTGAGCCGCTCCAGTCCCTCCAGCGATGCGATGAGTGGGGAGGCAGTGTGAGTCCTTGGCTCTCTGAAGAGGCACTGCTTGGCTGGGAACTGTCATGGGTCCACCAGACAGCACCCTGCTTTCTGCATGAATCTGACCCTGGGCAATGGAGGTCTTGGGCTTCAGGGGGTGAAACTTAAGCTGTCAGTGACTCTCCTGTTTTCTTCCCTGCAGGTAGGCAGGAGCCTCCCGTAGCCGAGTGAGGCAGCATGGCAAGTAAGTGTTCCCCAGCCAAGATGGAGAGGTGGCGGTGGTGCTGGAGGAGAGAAGGGGGATGTTTGGCAGCCACCTGTCAAGGAAGGGGTGCCTGTGCTTTTTGGGGGGTGTTACTGTCTGTGGGGAGCAGATGCCATTGGCTGTTATCCCTGGATGAGGTCTGAGGTCCGGCCTGACTTGTGCTTCTCTCTCCCCTGAGCAAGGTGGGAGTCAAGAGGAGGTGCTGAAGGGCTGACCTCTCTGGGACTCCCCGTATGCTGCAGCATTTCTATATTTGCGTGATGCTTCCTGTGCAAGGCTCTTTGGATTGACTGGCCCCTCTGCGGGGGTTGCCGGTCTGCACTGACATCTCCTAGCAACGGTGCTCCTCATGGCCCATGACTGGCATCCCACGAGCTGCCCATCCTGGGGTCAAACTGCCTTGTAGCCTGCGTAGCTGGTGGCACTGGGGTTCTGCATTCCCAGAGGATGGGCAGCTGCCTAAGTTGGCCCCGCCGGGAGCTCACTGTGTCTTGGCATCTGGAGTGCCTGGCAGATGGGGCTGCTCGGGGCAAGCGGCTAAAGCTGGGCTGAGACTGGCGAGGGTGCAGGGTGGAGGATGGCGTGTGGTCTGTAAAGAGCTGGACTCAACCCTCCCCCCTCGCTCTTCCGGGCAGCCTGCGTGGAGGCTGCATGCAGTGATGTGATGGGAGCTCAAGAAGGATGGCAGTTGTGAACAGGGAAATGTAGAGATCTGGCTGGGATCTCGGGATTTGCTTGGGGTGTCGCTGGAGCCAGCTATGAAGGTGGAGGCAGTAGCCACGCTGGGCAGGAGGAGGACTCCAGGGATGACAGGTATACCTTCTTTCATTATCTGCTGTGCTAGGTGGGGGAGGGAGCAGAGATCTTCAGGCAGTGCTTTTAAAAGGCAGTTTTAATATTCTGTTAATGAGGAGGGTTCCCAGCTGGGTCCCTGCCTTCCTCCACTGCTGCCTTTTCTCTCTCCCAGAGCTCTGGTGCTGGCTCATCAGCACTTACTGGTTGTGGGAGGTGTCCCCTGTGGTGGCGGTGTCCCCCGCCAAGCAGTCCCCTTTGTGGTGGCCCTGACGTGCAGGAGGGCGATGTGGTGGTCAACATGTTCACCATCATGCGCTCTGGCAGTGTGCAGCCCTGG